AATTTATAAGGAAAACGGTGTAAATCATTATGTGTCTTTCTGCAAAAACTGTTGCTGTGATATTATAACAACTGATTCCATGTTCTAAATATTAATCAAGATTGATATATTGAAAGGTTGGTGTTAATAAGAAGAAAATCATGATTGTGTCATGATAAAACCTAGTTTCTTTGTTATTATGATAAATTCTAATATATAAGCATAACAACTAGCGTTTTCAAATTTGAAATTTATGAAGCGAACATAAATTTGACCACACTGAAATATGCAGTTAAAACACACATTAATGCAAATTATTCAGAATTATTCCACATTAACATCGGAAAACATAACAGACTTTATCTAAGGCATTGCATTTTTAGAATTAAAAATATGATAATGAGATGAAGTCATCACACATGACAACTTCGATAATATACACGCCTATCAGAAAGAGTACAAAATATTAAAAATACTATCGGGAAAACGGATAGTGTGAATTTTGTTTAAACCTTAATCTTTTCGCAGTCCCCCTTTCCTTAATTGGTAGAATTTTTTAAAGAAAACATGCACATCTTAGAGCTGAAACAAAAATTAAACCTTAATAAAACCACAAATTCTCATTCTCTCTTTCTCTCTGTACGTGTTTCCCCCCAAAACGAATTTCGCTTTATACATGTTAATTATGTATACATCTTCGAAATAAATCACTCTACAAAATTGATATGCAAACAATAAAAATTAAAGGGAACAAATTTCTTTTTAATTAAACCGAGTCGTGCATTAAAACAATTAACGGAGCAAAGAGGTAACTTTCTTAATTACAAATCACAAACAATTTACATAAATTTGTAGCAAAAATTTTATGTCCATCATTTGCCATCTTTTGGCATGTTCATGTTTTGGTAGTTATTTAGACAATGTCCTTAATTAACTTGCCAACCAAAGACATGTATCTTTATAATGTTTTTCTGTGTCTTCTTATATATGAGTATGCTTTCATCATTAAGGGGATTTCAAAACGCGTAAAATGGTACTTATGTCAGGTATTCTAAAAAAGTTCTTGAATTTAAAAATTTTAACTTAATAATATAAAGACAAATAAATATACAGTCTAGTATATGAGAACATTTCATTTGTGTAGGCAAGGGTTATTTATAATTACATGTATCATGCTTTCATTCTTGAAAAAAAAGTTCACCTCATGTACTTTCTAGACAAACAAAAACAGCTGAGAAATTAAACTGATACATCTCAGTTTTGGGGATCATTGCTTCTGCAAATTATTCCTCATTTAGGAAGACAAATATAAGTGTGATTAATATATCTGTTAATAAACTCTTAATACTGATTGGGATTTGGACTACAATATTTTAATATCAAGGACACGATTCCTCGGCGGCAATCACTGATATGACAAAGATATTTTAATCAGGCTTCAATCTTAAAGATATCAAATAATTATAAAACTAAAAAGCACTATTCGTTTTTGTCTTCAACAAAAAATATTGAATTAAACTTTGAGTATGATTACTATTAGTTATATTTACTTTTTATATAAGAACATTGAATTGTATATCAGTCAAATTATCTACCCCCCCCCCCCTTCTGTAACATATTCATATTCTTCCCATAAAATCCCGTTTCTGTCACATATTCATATTCTTCCCATAAAATGTATTGAATTAAATCGTTAGATATTTTGGATATTTATTTAGACATTTTATTTTATTTAGATATTTTAAAATAATTAATGAAAATACATATGGTTCAAATAAGATTTTATTCATTGTCAAAAACTTTACGTGTAACGTGCATTAAAGATTTGTTGAAGAATGAAACTTTAAATAAATGTTTTCACTACCACTTTCTATGAAAAAATAGGTTCATATGCATGGTTTTAAAACTGTTATATTGTTCGGAATTTTTGTTTTTCTTACTTTATTTCAATTTTTATCATTCTATTTTTTTTACAATTACCTTTCATCTTCATAATTCTTTTTCAACGTAATCTGAAAGGACATATATAGGAAAATTAAAATACTTAAAATACAGAATTTATACAGAATATGAAAGATTATAATGCTTAAAAATCTCCAAAGAAATTCTGGAGTAAATTATCAAAGTAAATCAAAGTATCACACTGAAGTACCAAAGTATCGAAGAACATGTATCTTTGTAATACAAAATACTAAGGTTCAGTATCAAATAGCATGCATCATTGTAAAAAAGAATGTTTAGGTAAAACATCAAAGAACATGTATCATTGTAAAGCCAAACATTTAGGTACAATATAAAAAAACATGCATCATGTCATGATAGGAGAAACGGAAAAATCCATAGATAATTCAATGCGTAAAGAATGGCCTACAATTAGTATGAAAAACTTAAGTCAGCATTCGACTTAATGACAGATTGCATTTGCTGACAAGTTCATTACATCGACCACCGAATTCGCGAAATGATGACCCCAAACGAATCTGTTGATATTCCTGTTTCTTCAACCCGTTTTTAAATAACATGCATCATTTTAGAAATTGTTGGCATGTATAGCATGTTCTTGCTTATCGAACCAACCCAATACGCAGGTGATGAGGGCATACTGCTACTTAAGTAAGGAAAGCTTACGACATAAGAGCTGAAGCTATCACGTTTATCATAATGTTTGTTGTTAGGTTACCATTAACGTCTTTTTCTAGTAAAATATCCAAAGATGAAACAGATGTGTCAAACTCTGTTGTATCCTTTGATTTAAGTTCACTGGGATATATCGAGTCGACATATGAATGGAAGTAACTATTGTTAATTGATAATATGTCGTCGATATATATCTAAATGTCGAGTTGAAGGCCACAGCAAGTGTTTTCGTCTTTTCATGTACAATTTTTAGAATAAATTCTGCTTCACATGAATATGAAAATAATAAAAATCTGCTAATAACGGGGCGCAATTAGTACCCATGGGAATTCCGACAGATTGTTGGAAGACCTGATCTCCTAAAACTACACAGATATTGTCTATCAGAAACTCAAGCATATTTTTTAATATCAACTTCAGAGTACTTGTGTGTATAATCAGAATGTTTTAACAAATTAATTTTGTAAATGACCAATGACAAGGTAAGTAAATTTACGAGTTCCAGTTGTCTATGATGTCAAAAAACCTGAATTTTAATTTATCGTGGGGAATGGTTGTATAAAGTGTTGAAAAGTCGTACGTTATGATGTAATTGATTTTGGTAAAATTTTGTGATTTCAGATTTTCTAAAAATCAAAGTAAATCTGTAAATGGAAGTATTTAGGTAAAGTAACAAAGAACATGTATCATTGTAAATCAAAATATTTAGGTAAAGTAACAAAGAACATGTATTATTGTAAATCAAAATATTTAGGTAAAGTAACAAAGAACATGTATTATTGTAAATCAAAATATTTAGGTAAAGTAACAAAGAACATGTATTATTGTAAATCAAAATATTTAAGTAAAGTAACAAAGAACATGTATTATTGTAAATCAAAATATTTAGGTAAAGTAACAAAGAACATGTATTATTGTAAATCAAAATATTAAGGTAAAGTAACAAAGAACATGTATCATTGTAAATCAAAATATTAAGGTAAAGTAACAAAGAACATGTATCATTGTAAATCAAAATATTAAAGGTAAAGTAACAAAGAACATGTATCATTGTAAATCAAAATATTTAGGTAAAGTAACAAAGAACATGTATCATTGTAAATCAAAATATTTAGGTAAAGTAACAAAGAACATGTATTATTGTAAATCAGAATATTTAGGTAAAGTAACAAAGAACATGTATCATTGTAAATCAAAATATTTAGGTAAAGTAACAAAGAACATGTATCATTGTAAATCAAAATATTTAGGTAAAGTAACAAAGAACATGTATCATTGTAAATCAAAATATTTAGGTAAAGTAACAAAGAACATGTATCATTGTAAATCAAAATATTTAGGTAAAGTAACAAAGATGTGTACTGTAGCATACTCCATTTTTCTATATTGATAACTACAGTAATCTCTATACGGTGACAATTAAAACGTATTTTTAAAAAGTTCAAGATATCTCTTTGAATATGAAATCATTTTGGTAAATTTAACGAGAAGAATTATTTTAAATAGTAAAAGGTATGATAATTCTTTTCAAAGAAGACGTTTATATCTTTTTGACAGATAAGATCGTAATAAAAAAAAGTAATAAATAAAAAGTTTTCGTTCTATTGAATAACCGTAACCTATAACAATAGTAGTTGATAAGTTTAAGATAATCATTCAAAAATTTTAGGGTTGGCACATTTATTCTTCTTTTGTTAATTAAATCGTTTAATTCGGTCTGGAATCGATCACGTCTGACTGATTGTTAGTGATCAATTACACAGGCGACCAGATGAATCTAATTATTTAAGACAGTGGTTGCATTGCATGCGCTGCAGTATTTTTTTTTTTTACATGTATAGACTGACGTTGTGTTTTTTGCGGAGTCAATGTCATAAATGAATCAGATCGGGCGAGGCTTAAAGTATAGTATAGTATCGGTATAAAAGGCATCATATGCATATAATTAGACATGTAACCTAACTGTAATTAGTAATTATTTTGTTATTCACTTTGGGTATATCAGTGTTTCCTACATGTATATTTACAGTGTAAATTATTATTTTCCCCCCTGTGGATTATTTATGTAGGTAATCTATGAAAACGTAGTTTATTTAGTTTCTCTTAAATATTAGTTCTTAAACCAACTATGAAAACGATTTTGATAAATTTTAACATATATTGTCACTAATTTTGACATTACTGTTATAAAAGAAAGTGATAGTCAGCAATAAATAAGGCTGATAATTATATCTTTTCAAAAAAAAAAAAATCTTTCATTAAACAGTTTCAGTGTGAATTTTGGGATTACATTTTTCAGAAAACTTAATCGCATAGGAAACTTGTTGCTCGTTGCTAATAACAAATTGACATTTCTAAGAAACCGTTTCTTTATCTTCAGGACAATGACAATATTCCTTGGATTGCTAATTTTTGCTATCTGTTTCAGTGGAGGTAAGAAAGTACCATCTTTAAATAATGAAATGAGATATTTTGAGGTATTTTAAACAAATAAGGAGAAGTATATTTAAAATAAATTCTTGAATTTATTAAGTCATAAATGCATTTAAAGAATATTTTGACAAAAATCTTAAATATTTCAAGAATTGATTTGATTTAAAACTAATTATAATTAGACCGAAATAATTCTGGTTCTCGTTTTTATGTTAAAAAGAGATATTGTGATATAAAAATAACGTGATATAGAACAGATGGTATTTTACCACTGGATACGCCAGTGTAATTCTATTGCAGGTAATAGTGTAGAACCGGATTGTTACGTTATTGGTGAGGACGGTAAAAATACGTATACAGGTAATAAGTCCACGACGATAACGGGTCGAATCTGTCAGAGGTGGGATGTCACGGATCCTCATACCCATACTCACGTGAATGATCCTGAGGCGAAGGAGAATTACTGTCGTGTCCTCAGTGATAACAAACCCTGGTGCTACACCGTAGATAGGAGTGTTCGATGGGAATACTGCGGGATTCCAGAATGCGGTATGTATGCTATACACTTCTTGTACAAGCATATGACATTATTTTAGGAAATACATCCTAAATACATATAAAATATTTGATTTAATTATGATTTTATCAATTCGTAGGATAGTTGGTACAGCAAAATGTAACATGTTTGTAGACTTTTGCATACATTCATTCTGAAATACTTTGCGATTATTGCATTTATTGTCAATCTTTTCTTAAACCCTGTGTACGTTTTGAAAGTTCTTTGTTGAGAATTAGAACACTAAAGTGTATATTGTTCAAATATTTTTAACCCTGTAAAAGTTTTGCCTGATTTTTTTGTGTAGTCGGTTAAAACACTACATTGTATATTATTTAAATTGATAGATATTAATGGCTCGCGTGATTACAATCAGATGTACTGTATGTGCCAAATAAGATAGGAAATATTATGATAGCATAAGAAAAAAAATGATTTTTTTTCACAACCTTGATTTGCCATGGAAATTCTAACTTGTTATTGATTATATGACAAAATTATTTTCAGCAAAGGAAGATATCAAGGATTCTGTTGCTGATGGCAAATTTCCTTTACAACCTTCTATAGGAAATGAATGTGAGTAAACTCCATATTGTATTTCTTGGTTATCCAAACGGGTTTAGTTTTAAAGTTTCACGTATGCTTTTTGTGAAAATAATTATACATTGAAATCAGAAAGCTATTCTACAATGTTAATTCTAAGAGAAAAAAATCTGTTTACTCCCCCGCTGAGGGAACCATTTATATCAAGTTAATGATCTCATTAAACACTGCAGAAAAACCAGTATCTAGAGAAATCATTTACAAAACAGTTAAAAACTCTAAAAAGTTTTCACTCTTCTAAAACCATTGTCAGCCTCCGCTGTACCTACGTTGATAATGGTTTTCTTGAGTTGATAATATTAAATGTTACCCTCAACTACATGTACATGCATTATTTTTATAATGTTGCAGACATTGATTGTTATGAGAAGGGTGAGAATTATATGGGTAACGCCTCCACCACATTTACCGGACTGACGTGTCAGAGATGGGACGTTCAGAAGCCACATAAACATGAATACACTAACCATGCGCACGCAGACGGAAACTTCTGTAGGATTATCAATGATGAGCGACCTTGGTGTTATACAGTTGATCCTAGCATTAGATGGGAATACTGTATGGTACCAGACTGTGGTAAGAATTTTAAGGGCTTACCCCTTAAAGCACTCTTTCAAGTGATGAACACAATTTTTAGCCACTTTAAAGAATCTGCTAAGAATAAGATGCAATAATGTATCGATTTCAGGCGCGGATCCAGGAAATTTTTTCAGGGGGTTGGTTCCACCCCAGTCAAAAACATTTCCTACCAAGAAATTTCGTGACAAGCAAAATAAAAAAATCTAAATTCCCTTCCCAAACGTATTAAACAAACAAAAAAAGGGAATCTATTCCCAAAAGGTTTTCGGGGGGGGGGGGGGTCCAGAGTCATTTTTTATTTGCTTCAGTGTGTACTTTTAATAACTCTGCAAATTCCAGGGAGGGGGTCCGGATCCCCCGACCCCCCTCTGATCCGCACATGGATCTGAATCGAAATTAAATCAAGTTTTCATGAAGAAATCAAAATGTTCTTGCATGTCATTTACGATCAAAGTTAATTTAAAAAAATGTAAGTGAATGCATACATTATTTTTAAAAATTTTTGGTTATGCATACTTACAATGTAGTCCTTTTCTTAACAAAAAGGATTTGTAAGCTTTAAAAATATGTGTGCTCAATCAAAGTGCTCACCATAATTCATGATTTTAATGATAATATAAGCAATGTCCTAAACTTTTATGATGAATTTGAGGAAAAAGGTCTTATTAATTTCTATTTTAATAACAGTTATCTGCTATGAATAAATCATGTTGACCTTCATATGTAACCTAATATCTTTTATTTATTGACGATAGTTGAGACCTCTAATAAAATTTTAATGTCAATGAAATAACCACCAAAATGATATTCATAAAAACCTGAAAAAGACATTGACGAATTTAATTTGTTATAAAGAAATAAACATCTATTTTGTTATGGGCCATGTTGGTCATAAGGGACATTCCGTAAAAATTAAGAAAGATGATCGAATTTTTGCATTTTTCGCATTCAATGAAACTTTGAGACATTGTATTTTAAATTTTCATTAAAATAAGATTAGCAGAAAGCTTGTAAACTAGAATTGCACAATTACAATGTAACAAGGACAAAACAAATGCAAATTTTATTAAGTTTTCATCAGTCAGTCATTTCCTGTGTAACCCCCTTAGCATGACAGACAGATCACATGATTCACTTTGTCCGGTACCTTTCTGTACCGTCTGTAGGTCTGTTTGTAACACCTAAAAGCTTTATAATTGTAAGAGGTAAGGACTTGATATTTTTGCACATCTATTACGTGGCACTTTTGCTTTAGTAAACTACCATGGGTGCCGACCTCGTGACCAATGAACTTGACCTTTGACCTACTTATCAAAATAGTTATACAGCATATATAAAGCATATTTTTGTCATTTAAGAGGTATGCTATTTAGTTTGTGCATTGTTTGTCCCAGAACATTATAAAAACACCTGCGTTACATTTTTTGACCTCTGACCTACGTTACAAAAATACTTCGAATAGTTCATTAAACTTTTGTCTTTAAATTTTGATAGACAGTTTTTGTTATAATTAGCATTTCTATCAAATGTTTGAGCTGATGACCCTTTACTTTGAAACTGTATGTTATACAGTAACCACACAAATACTATGAATTACATCGTGATTGGTATACCAAAGGGATCCTTGTAGACTTGTAATTGCATTAAAGACAGACTGAAAATATTTTGGAGGATAGTTGGATTAAACACGTATTAATTAAATGAAAATAAAATTAATTACTCATTTTAGCTCTCAGGCTTGGGGAATAATTATGTATGATAAAAAATTGCATGTAACACGTGTAAGAATTGGTGAAAATGAAATATCATAAAATTGAAATTCATGCTAAAAATACTTTGATTTCTAAAGTTAAAACTTTGATTCACTATAGTTAAAATGTTGATACTATAGTTAGTTTATGATTTTTTTTCTGTCTGTCATCTTGCAGTGGGAAATGAACTTGTAAATTGTGTCATTCCTGGTTATAGGGTGAACAATGCATGAATCAATAAATTAACATAGATTTTGTATGTGAAAAGGTACATGTATTAGCAGGCTTTATAAAACTTAATTAACCTATAAGTTTAATATAACAAACGCATTTTAAATTGATGCAGACTATTGACAATTAGCTGATGTTTCAGGGTTTTCAATTTTCTAGTTAACAGTCAGTATTTGAAAAATTCTATGACTGTTATAATGACCTTGTTTGCAAAAACAACATATCGTTGGGTCCTATTACAGCTGACAAGTTTTAACTGTGACTGAGCATAACTCCTTTTACCTTGTCAATACAAAGGGTTCAAGGCAGATGTGACTGGTTGTCATGGGATACTTACTCCTCCTAGGCAACTGATTATCAGATCCAGCTATGGTGTTTCGCGGGATCCATATATTTGCACTATTAATATGTATTATTTACTGGATTTATGAGTTACTGTTCATTATCTTCACATTTTATATGTGGTCGATAATGACCTCTTAATTCTGTGTGCATAATGGTAGTGTAAAGTTTGAATGAGCAAGGTAACCTTGTCATTTATGTATTTCTAAAAAGAAATTTAAAGCTTTTATTATATTGTCATTGATGGTTTTAGAGAAAATCTGAATCATAATGACCTTCCCTCCCACCTTTCCCACTAAAATACTTTTCCGTTGATTTATAAATTAGCACACATACATGTAATTTCCGATATCATTTACAAAACGCTACATTATGTTAATAATAGGATGCAATGATTACGATCGTTCAACCACGTTCAGACAAGGACATTTTATTTTTTTCTGTATTCATATTAGTTAAGTGGGTTAAAGTACATAAACGAATTTATTATACCTCATTATAAGTATTCTATTCAACGCGTAATTTGATTGGTTCTAGATTATCACGTGACAGGGCCATAAAACTTCATATTTCCCTGTCGTTGTCATGCTTTTCATCATATTCAACCTCTTCGGAAACCTGCATTTTCCCGCAATAGTTATCATTCGTTGAACGAAAACTCCCGAGAGTAAGTAAGACGTCACAGTAGCCTGATTCACTTCACAAATTCTGTAAATTGTTTCAGTGACTACGTTAAAATTGAAAGTGAATTTAAGAGCGGGGCCGAATTTGAAAGTTTATGTTTATTTTTAAAGTTTTTGCTTGTTTCGGTATAATAAACAATTTATTGCATTGATGCTCGGGAAAAATGAAGATTTATTCCGCCAAGAAATATCATATTCCCCTCGAGCGAAGTCCTCGGGGAATATGGTTTTTCTTGGCGGAATAAATCTTCATATTTCCCTCACGATCATGCAATAAATGTATAATATAGCTTATGACAAAGTTAAAAAGGACCTTTTTAAAAAGTGTGTCGATTTAGCCAATTAATCTCAAACATCAATTTATTGTACAAAGCATTGTAAAATGAAACATTAGATAATTATTAATCTAAATGCAATTAATATTTCCAAGTACATAGAAAGGTAATCGCCTTGATTGAATGTCTAAAAAGCAATTGCAGCTTTGACAGAGCCTGGCGACAAAAATGATACAGCTTTATACATGCGTATTAGATTGGCGACAAAAAATGATACAGCTTTATATATACATGCATCTTAGATTGGCGACAAAAAAAACGATACAGCTTTGTACACTGTATGTATAATAAAATAAGGAGAAGAAGAAAATTAGCTTTCATGAAAATTTGGTTTAAGTACATGAATCTTTTACAGAGTCTATTCGAATTCTCCAAGAACTCAGATTGGGGATAACAACTCAGACCCGTGACACACAAGGAAAGACCACAAGACAAGAGTACTTAACTGAGCAACAGACAGCAGAGTGGACCACAACAGAGACAACACCAACAACAAAAACATCCCCGGATCAAGAAAGTCAATCCATCATTGAAGATAGTGAGTATTTCTTACTATATTCACATGGGTTCAGTTGCAAGGCGACGACCAGATTTACGCTTTATTATGTATACCGGCATAAAATGGGCAGTTAAATACACTTAAAGCTCACAATAAGACTGTATGAATGTATCTTTTTAGATTATCAAATAAATTATTTACATGATTTGTTTGGATAAAGTGTGTCACAATATGACTTGCATGTACGTCAAAAACGTATCAATCCGCTTGATCCGCTTTTATCTAGGTTTTTTTTTTTAACATTTTTATGCAAGTTTTCAGGACAATGCATCTTATTCTTTTTCACTTAATGGTAGAAAATTAAATTCTTAGTTACTCACATTATACTCATTGAACATTGTCTACGCTTTTTAAAAAAAAAAAATAAATAAAAACGCTTTTGGTTTATAAGGCAAAATCAGCCACAACCCAGATTATATTAGTATATAGTTGGATAATTTTTTCAGAATTTAAATTCATTCTAAAGTTAATATTTACATACTTGTTCAATATCTCTAAATATTAAGATATAATTTATTATTCATGTACAGATATGTAATCTGTCCACAGGCGCTTGACGTTTTTAACCTTTCTTTCCATAAATAAAAAATCCCCCATACTGTTATTATTATAGTATGGGGGATTTTTTATATTTGGAAAGAAAGGTTAAAAACGTCAAGCGCCTGTGAATCTGTCGTAAATAAAGTTACAGGTACTTGCTGAAAAAAAGAACATGCATAAATGTACATGTCTGTGCATGTGTAGAATTTGTGAATAATACATAATATTGTAGTCACTTCTGATGTGATATTGTGTTTCCATCACTAGAAATAACAACAAAGGGCCCAGGTGCTCTGCATGTGACGAAATCAGGGATAAAGACAAATACAGGTATGTAGTGTTAATTAGTGTTAATTAAATACAGGTACAGTGCTTATTAAAGTTAAGGAAAATCATGCACAGCCTTAATTCCTAATCAGGAAGCTTTTTTCGCCAGAGAATGACTTAGAATGTATTATTTATAATTATTTATTTCTCTTTTTCTCATCCTCATTTTTTTTAAAAAAGATTTTCATTTTTATATACATATACATGTATATATATTGCTGCATCATGTGGTTTCAATCTTATTTTGTATTAATAGATTTGACTGTAATGATATAAGCTGTTTAACTACACTATGCAAGGTCTTTCTGTTTAATCATGTTTTGTACCCCCCCCCCCCGTTTTTATTTTTATTTTTTAATTCTAATTTGATTGTGTTAACTGTACTCTGTTTATTATGTACAGCTGCGTCCCGGTCCCTGGTTCGATCTCGTACTATCTCTATCGCAGGCCCTATACAGACCAGCGGAACGGATTGTAAGTGTTTATTCTTATTAGTTTGATATTTATTTCCATATAGATAATTCTGTATTCAGCTCACATCAGAAAAAGCTAGAGTGATGAGTTCGTTAAGGACTCTTAAAAGCTAATATTTCATTTATTTAATAAAAATCTAATACCCCCTGAGTACCAACGCCTAAAAGTAAACATATTTAGTTAAGTTTTATCAATAATAATCAAATAATCCCGTTATCACGGGGAAATAACCTCACACATAAAGTCCAGGGGCCTGTTTTACTAAAGAACTTCCGACTAAGACCAAAATTTATTACCGCTTATTACGTTCTATTTTACATTAATTTGAAAAATGGTTTTAAACTTTTAAAAAGAATTTATAAAGACATATTTATGCTGGCAATTTCAAACAGAATCATTAATTTTGCAAAATTTTACCATAAACTTAAGTTTTTGGTCTTAATCGGAATTTTTTTTTTTGTAAAACGGGCCCCTGGCTTCTAAATCGCATATATATGCACACATTAATAGTAAAATCACCTGTTAATTAATTTGCTATGTTGTTTGTAATTTTGACTGGGTTAAACCCAGTCAATATGTGTTTCCATAAATTACTTTTGATTCTTCATTGTAGCTGATCTTAAATACCGGATGTTTAGCATTAAGGAGCTTCGAGATAGTTTGCATATTGTAATCTACGATTAAAAAAGTTCGATGATCAGTGATATTCTTGTTTCAGTGAATCCGGATGTATATATTCAAAAAGAGATGTATACTAGTAGTGTCAATCAAAAGATATCTATACGATGCTTTGTTACCCCAAACCAAGACCTCCCTATCCACTGGTATAAAGACGGGGAACTTCTGGTAGAAAAAGGTTTAAAAATAAGAACTGGATCCATTCTGATTCTCAAAAATGTTCAGAGGGAGAACAGTGGCAAATATACATGTGAAGCTGGGAACAGCAAGGCCACCACTACAGTTCTGATAGGAGAAGGTACTCCCCTTAATCACAGATTCAGTATAGAAATAATCTCATTGAATAAATAATTTTTGGTGTATGTAATAGTCAACAAATTAAGAAAAATTGCATCTGAAAATTTACAGCAAAATAAATAAAAATTTCTGTATACTATGTCTTAGATTTTAGAAATAAAAATTATCATACAGTGACTTAATTTGATGCCGCCAAACCTTCCTAATCTTTTCGAAAATTGATGTATTTTTTTCAATAATCTAAAAAGAATTTAACAAACAAATTTTTTTAAACATATTTAACTTATTATCAATCATAATAATTACAACTATCCAATTCTACGTTTGCACACAAATATTTTTACAAACATGAAAGCTTTTGATTTTTATTTTTAAGTTGTGAAAAAGTTTGTCATCCTATGAATGCATATGAATAGTTATGTGGAAACATTTTAATTCGTGGGGGTCAATGTTCGTGGGCATGCAAATTTTACTTGTTCATGGGGATATAATTTCGTGGGTTACTCGTTTTTAAGGTAGATTAAATGGATCAATATGTTTACAAATTTAATGTTCATGGGGATATTAATTCGTGAGTAAGGGTGACCATGAAATCCACAAACATTGGTCCCCCACAAACAATTATGATTCCACAGTATATGTTGTAAACAAAGATAATGTGTCTATGTTCAATATATTTCAAGCCCTGACTTCTTATTTTACAGAAACTCATTATGCAACCCAAGATACCGTGGACAAAACAACACAGGATAGCGTGTCTACCACAGAAAAGGATCTTACTTCCACTACAGATATTATATTCACCTCTGAAGTACCTATTAACCTTCGCACAGACCATGGCGAATCTTTAACAACCACTCCTTTCAAGATCGTCGCTGATTACGACATTACAACAACATCTCCTGAAGAAATAACTACTTCTGCAGCAACCTCATCCCAAACCATGGAAACCACAACACAGCAGGTATCGACAACAGAGGCCTATGTCAGCATTGCAATGATTTCTACACCCCCTCCATCTAAACAGTTACCTGATGAATTGCCCACAACGACAATTAGATCTATGCTCTCTACAGAGACAAAACAAGCTATGCAGGACACAGAAGAAGTATCAACAACAACTTTACAGTATAGGACATCAACCTCTGATCATACAGAACAAGTACCTCTTATCCCTGACGATTCAGACATATCTTACAGCATAAAAGATAAAGTACCCCAGGAGATAACTACTAGTCCATTGGTCATACTTTTTAACAAAACTGGACAAGCATCATCTGGTGTAAATTATAATGTTAAAGACCAGGGACCTGATGCATTTAAACTTACTATACCTGTGAGACATGTCTTCGAGCCTCCAAACAATACATCCACCCAGGTACCACGTGGACTCAGAGAGAGATACGTCAAACCATCAACCACAAAGCCTGGTTTCAAGATGGACAAAATGGAAAAGAAGAAGCTGCATAGTTACCCATACCTCCTTCGATCAGGTTCAATTTTTCAACTTTTTTTAAATATGCAAACTATTTCATACAAGTTTAATATTATTCATGTATCTTCAAAGTGAAATGATCTTGCTTTTGACTTGATAATTGTAATAGGAACATTCTCTATGAGAGGAGATATTTGTACTGATTTAGAACTTATTACAATTTTTTTTCTTAAGTACTTTGTAAGGAAAAGAATAATTTCCTGACATGTTTATTATTTTAGAGTACAAAAGTAAAACAGAGAATATATTTTCCAACAGGCCTTTAAGTTTTCCAGTTCACAAGTTGATCATCTTAAAAGCTTGGAATTTTGTGTTTTACAGATACTAAAAATATGATAGATCCCTCAAGTCAATATCTCAGGGAAACAAATGAACGTAAGTGCAGTAGTTTATGTATACAGCCATTTATAAAAAAAAATTGTAGTGCAGAGATTTTGTAAAATTTTATGATCATTTTGAAAACTTTTTTTTAGAGAGCTGTGGAACTAAATGTGACGGCGAGAGCACCTGTTACCTGGGGTACAATTGTACGCATTACAAACACTGTTTTGAACAAGATGGAAGCCACTGTACATGTATATTAATGACTTGTTCCTTTGGGACATTCTGGAACTCGGCAATACGTGCCTGCGATGCTGTTAGTAAGGTCTACTGTGAAGAAGGTATGTTTTAGTTTCATTGAATTGATCACATTAGTCGCCCGTGTGGCGCAGAGGTGAGAGCGTTTGCTCTAGAGTCGTGGAGTAAGGAGCTGATCCTTACGTCGCGGGTTTCCACGTGGAGACCAATCCTTCGGATGAGACCGTATAAACCAAGATCCCGTATGAATATCGCAGTAAGTGATGGCACGAAAAAGATCCTTCATTGCTCAATGGCCCTAATATATGTCTAAATTTGCAGCCCTCCACCGGCGTCTCCATATGAGTGAAAAATTCTCGAGGGGCTGTTAAACAACAAACAAACATCACTTATTCCTATTCTCACAAAAAGTTCTGATTGATTTTGCAGCAGTTTACTGTGAAAAGAAAAGCAATATTCCACTTTAATTTTCTCTTTAAGATCATTTTATTATTTTCATTGCTTTTATTTGTAATTGTGAAATGAAACGCCATTGAATGATATTAAATTAAAAATAAAGCAATTCTGGTTAAGTTGTGATGTGTATCTTCATCAGTTCTTTTTAGAGAGAGAATTAATGTCATTATGTTTTCCATTCATAGATCCATGTAAAAGTATGAACCCCTATGCAACGTACTCATCAGGTTTCAACTGTAGAAGTTACTACGAATGTAATAAGGAGCGTCGTTCTGTGGCCATGTGCTGTAAAAACAAGTACTCCTATCAGCCATACAAAGGACGGTGTGTGTTTGACGAGTCATGTGATATAGACTGTACCTCACGGACTCCTAATAAACTCCAGAGAGACCTCAAAGTGAATCTACAAGTGACACAAACATACGACTGTGAGTTACAACCAATACGTATACCATAATTAGGCAGAATCAAAGAACAAGGTTCACTTAGGGCCTTTTTTGGCCCTGTGAATTTCAGAAAAAACTGAAACTGCTTGGTTGAGGTTGAAAATGCATGAAATATTATTTAGACCTTTGATGACTGCGTATCTATCAAAAATGACGTAATTTTCTGGCTAGCCAATGCATCATGACGTCATGAAATGCGTCATTTTCCTCATATCCTGAAAAATTCTACAAAAACAGCCAATTTCTAAAGCTATTTTTCGATATTTAATATAGAGCGCAACCTCTGATCTAAAATATGGAACTATTAAATGAAAGAAAAAATTCTGAGGATTACAAAACATGTTTTATTTTTTAGATCAGAGGGTGCGCTCATATTATTTCTCTTCTGTGAAAGTACTCAAATATACTTGTTTTCCTTAAAATTCAACAATATTGCAATTTCATGGAGCCTGTATTCCAAGACCTTGGTTTTAAGGAGAAAATTTTTAATAGGAAATGAAAGCACTAAGTCTCTACTTTATCTTTATGTTTAAAACGGAACATAAAGTGTTAGTCAATAAATTGGTATATCTACAGGGCCATTCTATGCATAAAGTGAACCTAGCTCTTTTTCACAATTTAGAATAATCAAGAATAGTCTTTTAAATTGGATCAAGAAGACTATATTCTTGTTTTTTTCTGAGGACATGTGAAATCACAAATGTTACATGTATTTTATAGATATCAGATAAACTTTATATTTATGACTTAAGACTACCCTTCATAAGAAATCTACATATTGACATTGGTTACGTAAGGAATCGAGTCTGCTTTCAGATAATCTACTCTCTGTTAAGATTAACAATATTTTATTTTCTTTCAGTATGCTATTTAAGACCAGTGAAGGGCAGACCAACCAAATATTTTAACAATGTATTTAAGGTGGAACAGGACTGTCCTCCAGGGACCACCTTTAATGCTGAAATCTGTGTTTGTGGTATCTCACTGAAAATAACAAGAAAAATTCCTATCGACCTTTACCCTGCTGGTTAGGAACAAACTTCCTTTATTTCATTCTCTTTTTTGTCAGCATATGTCCGTGTGAGTTATCCGGAAATCAACTTAAGTTGAACAAATTTTCCGAAAAAAAATATATCTCTACATCAGCGTTATTTTCTAAAAATTAATTATAAGAATAAATTATTTTAAGTTTGTAGAATGTTTTATTAACATTGCTTTTTTAATTAATATTAACATGTATGCAAACACGAGAGAGTAAGATTGCCATTAAAGTTTTATTCACTTTTATTTATAATAGTGTGCGAGCCTAAAATAGTGGTGGATTTTTCCGGACAACAAGTCACTAATCAAGCTCCACGGCCGGTGTACCTTAAATCTACAGATGTCAATATTATTCCATCCGGCATGCTCAATATCAACTATGGCCAATTCAATGGCAGATCATCACAAATCTTCTCTGAGCGATATTTTGCCGTTACATTTCGGCGCCTTCTGATTCGGATGCGATTTTATAATGACGGCAGAGGTGGCCCTGAAAATCAGGTTCTGATTTCAAACTGTGATTCTTTAGCTAAGTCATGGAATATTCCAGAGTTAGATCCCAACAAGAAGCCATCACTAGCCATAATTCTATCCAGAAGTACCAGCACATTAACTTTTTTAGGATTCAGTGAATTCTCACCACCAGCAATTATACGTTTACCTTTCTCGGTAATATTTATAAAATATCATACCAATTGTAGAACCTTAAGAATTTTAAATTTTGTTTCGGATATTTTATTACGAAAATTTGATATTTTATAGCAGTATTGATAGCAAAATCATTTATGTAAGTAAACTATGTCTTCAGAAAACGAGCTGGAATAATGTGGAGTTGATTTACGATGGAACAACATTTGATGCACGAGTCAGAACAATAAAAAAAGATGGAAAGTTGTTGGAGTTCAAAGATTCCAAACCTTTGTCAGGTATACATACACACACAGACACCCCCTTCTCAAATGATAGCCATCATCAGTTTTTGGATAACTTTTTTATGATTAAAGCATGTCGCAGTTACTCTCCTGAAAGCTGAAATGTAATAAACATTGTTAACAAATTATGATAATGTCAATTTGTTACGGGATTATCTAATGTAACATTTATATCCATCTGGAGAGGTTTTTGCCATTGATTTTTTTCTGTTTGTAGGAAGACTAGCAGTCTCTGTCCAACCACTGCGTATTGGGAAATGCTCCAGAATGGATGCTTTTTATGGTTACATTGACATTGTAAGTAAGGGGTTGATAATCAAAAAAGTAAAATGATGATTACCAATTAACAATAGGCTTACAAATTATTACTGACCTATTCAGATAATATATTCAGAATATAAAAAAAACTATTTAAATAATAGTGCAATAGTGTAATAAAATGAAATATTATTTCAATTTTATATATATATATATATATATATATATATATATATATATATATATATATATATATATATATATATATAAAGCACATTTTACAACATAACTGCCCTAAGTGAAGAAATATTAATATAGAAAGCACAAAGAAATTCACTTTTATAAGGATACCCACTTCCGCCCCAGCCCGGGGTTGAACTCTCGACCTACGGAATCTGTCTCCTAACAGTACAGGAACAGCGCTCTAGACCGCTCGGCTATCTAGGCAAGTCAAAAAACGTGCTTTCGATGCCGATGAATGTAATGAATTACAACGTGTATTGGTAACGATCCTCTAATAAAAAAAACTAATGTCCAAATAACTGTATCTCACTTCCACTCTCAATGACCGTGTAGTGCAGAGCAGCGCCGCGAGAATTCAATCGGCATCAAAAGCAAGTTTTTGACTTGCCTAGATAGCTGAGCGCTGTTCCTGTACTGCTAGGAGACAGATTCCGTAGGTCGAGAGTTCAAACCCGGGCTGGGGCGGAAGTGGGTATCCTTATAAAAGTGATTTTCTTTGTGCTTTCTACATATATATATATATATATATATATATATATATATATATATATATATATACAGAGAGAGAGAGAGAGAGAGAATCACAGTAGTCGGTGATAAATATGAAAAATATTCAAAAATATTAAAACAAAGAGAATTAGTATATATATATTTATAACATTTCAACTGTAAAATACTGTGATACTGTGATTTATTCATTGAATAAAAATCACAGTGTGAAAGGATACCAAAGTGATATTCTTTCACAGTGTGAAAGGATATCAGGGTAAGTAAAATATAATTTCTGGCATGTAATAAAATTGAGATAGTAACTAAACCATCTTGACAGAGACTAAAACTGCCAATTTCTTCCCAAATATGTTACTTAAATCCATGTTACAATGTTTTCATCTCACAACTGCTAAGCCATGACGTCTCAACTACTCAACTATGACATCACAGCCTATTACATTGTGTTAAGTAAAGACAGAGGCAAAGGGAAAATCAAAGAAAATGTAATAAACAGAAAATTTAATGTTTTGTAGTTGGATATGGAATTTATTTCACTCGTGGTACGCGAGATAGGATTTTTTGAGTGCTTCGCACTCGTGAAAATATCAAAAAATCCTGTCCCACTCGTGAAATTAATTCCATATCCAACTACAAAACATTGAATATCCTCTATATATATTATTGCTTTTCATCTTCAAGTGTTAAAATGGTTCTCTTTTTTGTAAGGCTATTCTTTTTTGGAATTCCTATAAACGTTTGATTGAATTATTTTTGGTTAAATTCATTTTCATCTTGGTTCTTTTCTTGCAGTAGGGTACTGAATGTCTTTATCTCTATGCTTTCCCTCTAAATCTTTGTCACCGTCTGCTGAAGACCTCCTGGTCGTTGTCCAGTCAAATTCCACAATGTTCAGAAGAACAGTTTATTTACTTGACATTGTATTTACCTTATAGTGGGGTGCTAAGTTTGGCTTATTTATATACATTGTATTAACCTGCTAAAATTTGAATAGCTAAATTTGCACCCTTACATATAAGTACTAAATACAGAAAAAAATAATTTGATCAATCTGTTGTTTAACGTTATATTTTTCATCTGGTACTGGTTTTTACCTAAAATCTTGCGTATTCAAACGAATATTAAAAGCACTGAAATCTCCTCTAGAAGATGAACTTCCTTCTGCAAAGTCAAGGAATTCTGTGTTCGGTAAAATAGTTCCGCCAAAATTATTGGCATACCTTTGAGCAAGCAAAATAGAAAATATACAGAACCCTGCTATACAACTTGCTATACGGTATATTAATTGTGTTTAATTATTCAATTATTTCAAGCCTGAATTCTTGAGTGTGTTGTGTCTGTGTTTCAGATCAAGATGTACAACGACTGTTTACCAAAGAACTTATGAATTCCATTTGTCGCCCCATCCATTCCCTTCTCTCATTTATTTATTCCTTTGACTTACATGTACTTTGTTATGATATAGTTGAAAATAAATTTTTACTTATGACAATATGTTTCATTATTTGTTGCTTGATTCAGAAGGTAAATATACATATGTTTTTAGTGTATTCAGTATGAACACAAAAATACAATTCTGTGGGATGTAAGGCCGCTTAGCTGTAATATTACTGGGGATGATCTATTTAATAAGAGAGAGAGAGAGAGAGAGAGAGAGAGAGAGAGAGATCTATTTAATTAGAGAGAGAGAGAGATGTTATTAACTTTCAGTTGAGATTTTTTTCTATTTTTTTATTGGTGTCTATCAGTTTGCAATTCAGAACAAATTCTACCTTCGTTTTAGTGTTTATCAAATTACAGTGCAGAAAAAAATCCATCCTTGCATTCAAAAACTCATAATGTTTTGATAAACTTTTTAGAATAAACAATACAATTCCCCCTTATCTTATTCAATATTTATCATAGGAATTTTAATTGATACAAAATCACCTTACATGTTTAAATTGCATATGCTATAATTTAGAAAAAATATAGTAATTTGAATTACGACTTAGATTATAATCATTTAATTTAATTGCATTCCTTGATGGGAAAATTACACTATCATGTTACTTCTTTTGAATTTTATTATTATATATATCAGTTACTTTATTTAAATTTCAAAAGATAATACTCAAGCAAACAAAATCAGCATTTAAATAAAAACAGTATATGATTAAACGGGTTTTGTTAAGGTTTTTGTTTGGAATTGTTTACACTGTGCTGCAAAAAACTTCATTCGACCGCTACCGTAATATGTTGTTAAGCTATAACAATGACATTGTTTATTTGTTTAACTTCCCTTCGAGAATATTTCACTTATATTGAGACGCCAGCACCTGTCAGCTAGTGGAGGGCTGCAAATTTAGGCGAGAGCTCAGCACTTATGGCCTTTCAGTTTGAGTGTAAGGGATGTTTTAATGCCATCACTTACTGCGACAAGGGACCTCGATTTAAACGGTCCCATCCGGAGGACAGATCTTCACGTCCCGCAGTGTGATTCGAATCTGCGATATAAGGATCAACTCCTTACTCCACGATACTAGAGCAAACGGTTTAACCTCTGCGCCACATGGTCGTATGATATATATATGGAGATAAGGAACAGTTTTCAAGCTAAAAAGTTCATTCAAGCAATACGAATTAGGAGCAGAGCAAACAAGGACCTCTTAAACATCAGAGGTGGAATTAAGAATCAGGGAGATACTTATAATCCATAAGCATAATAAATGACCTTAGGTATTTAGATGGACATTCAGAGGATGCCCTTAATTAATTTAGAGAGGAGGGCATTCCTTCCCTCTTCTCACCCCTTATCAACCAATAACGATTGCTTCACACCTATTTGAATTCATTTATGATGCTTATATTATGAGAATGTATCTTACTAACGTTATTTTAATGAGTCTTATTCCTTTCTGATTTATTTCCGGCTTTTGGCATGTCTGTAGGCAATAGAGGTTCATTTGTTTAGTTTCTACTTTTCGTTTCTCTTTTGTTGCCTGAAATACTTCTTTCCAGTAGATGTATTATTTGAACATTTGTGAAAGAAACAAGGAAATCTATTGTTTCCGAATGAATTCTATTTCATATATTTAACACAAAATCATGGGGTCACATTCCATTTTTTTCAAGTTATTGAGGCTATAAACAAAACTGTGATGAAAATATTGAATTTATTTCTCAGGAGTTATTGTAAATGGGACCAAATATACTCTTATTCTGTCTTGAAAAGACGCATTAAAAATTGTCAAAAATAAAATGTTTCAAATCACATCGCATAATCAATTAATTGACCTTTCTGCACTCACAAAATGTCATATCTGGCATTAAAAATTATAAAAAACAACAAAATTATTTTACGGTCTTAAACTTTTACTGAATATAAGCAGAATGATCAAATTTATCTTATATATACAGAAAAGAAAATCAAAAGTGGGTGTCTATGATGAGCATTTTTAGATATTACTGAAAAAGTGTTAATTCTACGTTAAAATGGGTCCCATTTTCCCCTGGATTTTCAGAATATATTTGCTGTATTTGTATGATGATTTAATTAATAAAAAAAGTAAATCTATAAATATTTCAGGACCAGCATAAAACATTTCATTGCACAAATTTGCTCTGTAAATTATCTTTTTAGATTTTCCTTAATGGATAAAGTGCGTAGTTGTATTATAAATGACGAAGTTTGAACACGAAGGCTTGAAAAACAAAAACTCGAATAATAAGAATCCTAGTGTGATCGTTCACTTATACCCCGGGTAGTCTCCGACGTCATAAAAGATAAACGTCATCAGTTCAGATTTTGGTGGGAAAATACACTTATTAACAGAATCACATTTTTTCAATTTATCATAAAGATTTTCGATGAAATATCTTAATTACTATGATATCATTTAACATTGAAATATACGAACAAAGTATGTGCAAGTTTATGTATCAAATAATTATAATTATAAATGCCCTATGTTTCTACGTTATTTTTATACCCCCGCTCCGAAGGATAAGGGGGTATACTGTTTTACCCTTGTGTGTCTGTCTGTCTCTCTGTCTGTCTGTGTATGTGTGTGTGTCTGTCCGTAACAAATTTTTCGTCGCAGTTTTCTCAGCAACTACTCATTGCAGATGCTTGAAATTTTAACACACTCTTTGTTTAGGCATGCCATATGGTGGGATTTATTTTTGTACGAATCCGTGGTAAACTTCCTGTTTATCCGTGCGTCTGTCCTTACCATACATAACAAATTTTCTTCACAGTTTTCTCAGCTACTGATTATCGCAGATGCTTGAAATTTAACAAACTCTTTGTTTAGGCATGCCATATGGTGGGATTTTTTTTTTGCATGAATCCGATGTCAACTTCCTGTTTATCCATGCTTAGAGTGTATATTCACATCAGAGCGGGGGTATTACTAGTGAGCATTGGCTCACAGACTTCTTGTTTCTTCTGTTTCTCTAATGAATTTTCACTGTCACTATTGCCCGATTCTTCGGCCGGTATCATATCTTTTTAGTTTCAATTCTTTGCATACTTCGAAAAACCGTTTCAATCATTTTCAGATACTAAGGACCGGAAAACATTTCCATGTGTACCAGACATTTATGATTTTTGCGTTTCTGGACGAGTGAATTCAAGATCAGAATATTTGATCACAGTCCAGTGCGCAGTCTGTTTTAACGCAGATTTCAAACCGGTGCATAAAAATGTTATAAAATTCATATTTATTAAAGCATATACAATAAAAATTGAGGAAAGGAAGTAAACAATACAATATTAAGAATAATTTAATCCTTTTTCCGAAATTCTGAGTAGTAAATACCTTTTCGTTAGATTTTAGATATTACATGTATATACCAATAAAAAAAATTATACCCCCTACATAATTAGGTAGGGGTTTATTCTTTTGATTAAAAGTAAAATAAGTAACGTCAGGTGCCTGTGTTATTTTGGGGTACTGTGCCCCCTTCTTAATTACATCAGACAATGAAATATTTTATTCAAATAGGCTTCAAATGTGTAATAACTCAATGTTTGTTCATAAATCTATTAGTTATAGTTGGATTATTCTATGTACAAAGTTTCATTAATTTATGACATCGGCTTCCTACAAAACTACGCCTGTCTACAGAAGTTTGGGACAACCCTTGTTTATATACAGTATTTTATGAATATAAAGATAAATATTAAACACACATTTTGACAAATGTTAATCCTGTCACTTTGGAATCCAGCTGCTTAAGAGCGTACCTACTAAAATAGAAATGTTATTTATCTCTCTGATTACGGGAAATATTAATTCGGCCAAGATGCTGCACACTTTTTTTTTCTGTGCAAAAACGTTAAAAAAAAGAGAGATTCTTCCTCATCTATCGCATTGATCTCTTCAATAAACTTTGGTCAGTAAATTGGCTTGTTTACAATCTCTTTTCAGTTTCAATCTTTTCTCCGCCGACTTTGTCAAGGTAGCAGGTCTACCCGTCTTTTCTTAGCCATGATAATTTGTTTATGATAAGTACGTATGCGTGAGTAGCTATAGCATGGAAGGTGGAACCCATTGTTTATCTTTATGGACCATAAATAGTCAGTAATTTTAATGAAATAATGAAAATTATTTAATTATAAAACTTCGATTTTCTGAAAGTAAGTAGTGAGGAAATTCCAAACTCTATCGGAATTTTTTATCAAGTCTGTTTTTTTTGATGAGATGCGGCTTATTGACCTTTTTTTCTCCCAAAATTAGTTCATTAAAAACTTATGAAAAAGAATCGTTTTAGGGATGATAAATTAGAAAAACAATTATAATTTATCATCCTTACAAAAAATCACAATAATTCATTTGAGTTTAATTTCATTTTTTCACCGTTTAAAACTTGTACAACTAGCATTGTCAGGGGTGTATGTGTGAGCGCAGTCAGAACAGTAACTCTGGATAGAGAATGTGACCACAGTTAAAGGTTAGCAAATTAAGAAACACTAATACTCATCAGGGTTGGGGTCAATTACTTGAAAATAAAATTAAATACTTTCTTATACATTGATAATTTTGTCAATTACTTGTAATTACAATTACATTGATTCTAACAAATGTAATTAATTACTCTCAATTACTTTGAAGAAAGTAATTAGATACATATCAATTACTTAATTTTTATTTCTAACAAAAATGAAGAACAAAAAAATGTATACTTTAAAGCAGCAATATTGTTAAATTAAATATATTAAAGTGGTCAACAAAAGTTTAGCGGACCCTGAGTATAACGCAGACATATCACTAAACACGAAAGTTACAGTAGTTACCTCTCTTTCTCTCACAAAAACAATAACTGATTAAACATATTATTTTACCAAGCTATAAAAATAATTTGATAAGGGATGGAAACTATCAACATGAGGAAGTCGGTTACCTGTTACTTCGACCGAATAACAAGATGACTATACATGTATTTCGTACACTGAATTAATTTATAGATTTGTAGATGAACATGATGTAGAATGTACCA